TGTGTACCACATGCTGCAGTAATATCAATGCAGGCATTATAGATACCTTCGTTATGCATTATAATGGCTGATATATGAATTAATAAAGCATGACATCATCTTCTATAGACAGTCATAAGGTATTATAATGTTGATTATAATAATTCATAAGCTCCAATGCAGCTCTCATCTATAATGCATTACAGGTGCTGTCATAATGCATTATAATGGTCAGTATAAGAATTAAGGATGCATTCTACTGCATTATGAAGGTATCTATAGTGCATTATACACTCACCTAAAGGATTATTAGGAACACCTGTTCAATTTCTCATTAATGCAATTATCTAATCAACCAATCACATGGCAGTTGCTTCAATGCATTTAGCGGTGTGGTCCTGGTCAAGACAATCTCTTGAACTCCAAACTGAATGTCAGAATGGGAAAGAAAGGTGATTTAAGCAATTTTGAGCGTGGCATGGTTGTTGGTGCCAGACAGGCCGGTCTGAGTATTTCACAATCTGCTCAGTTACTGGGATTTTCACGCACAACCATTTCTAGGGTTTACAAAGAATGGTGTGCAAAGGGAAAAACATCCAGTATGCGGCAGTCCTGTGGGCGAAAATGCCTTGTTGATGCTAGAGGTCAGAGGAGAATGGGCCGACTGATTCAAGCTGATAGAAGAGCAACTTTGACTGAAATAACCACTCGTTACAACCGAGGTATGCAGCAAAGCATTTGTGAAGCCACAACATGAACAACCTTGAGGCGGATGGGCTACAACAGCAGAAGACCCCACCGGGTACCACTCATCTCCACTACAAATAGGAAAAAGAGGCTACAATTTGCACGAGCTCACCAAAATTGGACAGTTGAAGACTGGAAAAATGTTGCCTGGTCTGATGAGTCTCGATTTCTGTTGAGACATTCAAATGGTAGAGTCAGAATTTGGCGTAAACAGAATGAGAACATGGATCCATCGTGCCTTGTTACCATTGTGCAGGCTGGTGGTGGTGGTGTAATGGTGTGGGGGATGTTTTCTTGGCAGGCCCCTTAGTGCCAATTGGGCATCGTTTAAATGCCACGGCCTACCTGAGCATTGTTTCTGACCATGTCCATCCCTTTATGACCACCATGTACCCATCCTCTGATGGCTACTTCCAGCAGGATAATGCACCATGTCACAAAGCTCGAATCATTTCAAATTGGTTTTCTTGAACATGACAATGAGTTCACTGTACTACAATGGCCCCCACAGTCACCAGATCTCAACCCAATAGAGCATCTTTGGGATGTGGTGGAACGGGAGCTTCGTGCCCTGGATGTGCATCCCACAAATCTCCATCAACTGCAAGATGCTATCCAATCAATATGGGCCAACATTTCTAAAGAATGCTTTCAGCACCTTGTTGAATCAATGCCACGTAGAATTAAGGCAGTTCTGAAGGCGAAAGGGGGTCAAACACCGTATTAGTATGGTGTTCCTAATAATCCTTTAGGTGAGTGTATATCAGAGCTTCATAAAGCATTCATAATGCATAATAAACGTGGCTATTATGTGTTCTTCCTTTTTATTAATATTTATAGCCATGTTTATAATGCTTTATGAATGTATTATAAGGTGTTATGAATGTGTTCATAGATTCTTATAGGCAAGGCATTCATAGAAAGTGTTACCAAAACGCTTGTTGTGACATCACAGCATGCTTTGCCCTGCAGGAAGGCACATATCGACCAAAACCCCATGAGGAGGGGTGTGATCAATAGGCTGGCATCTAAATAGTAACTGGCTGTTGAACCTAGGAGAACCTCGCCTAAACATAACTGCTTTAAGAAACATTCAATTGTTGCCCGGACAACCAGTGGGCTGTCAGATCATGTTCCCCAAAAACTTATTGCCTTTATACCTTCTGGGTGACTGAACTTAATTCCGAAGTGACATGGAATAAAAGACAGTACATTTGTTCCTTCTGAGAACTCACTCAAAGGGTGGTGATACACAGAGCAACTTTATGAGCAATGTTGCTGGGCAATGTTGGTCAGGTACTTTACCATTAATATTATGCAACAAATTTCTGTTTGAAAAACTTTGATCGGCAGTGGGCAACTTTTCGTGATCATCCAGATCCAAATGAGTTAGCTGTTGTCTCACCTGGTTGGCTGTTGCCCGGCAACATTGCTCTAGAATTTGCCCTGTGTATCATTACCTTAAGTCATGTTAGTGTTTTGTACTTACTACCTTTAATAATAAATAGTCATATTTGGTGTGGTTTTGTGGGATTTCACCCTCACGCACATCCACACATGCATACTTGCACACCCAAATACTGAGCTAATCCTGTGGTCACTCCCATTAACACACCCTACACCACAAATCCCTACTTACCCTCTGGGACGCAAAATCATTTATGAGAGGAAAAAGATGCAAGAAATTGTATCGTGTTTTCTGGAATTATACAGATGATCCCAAAGAAGGGGACAAAAACAATCAGTGTAATGGGGTGGGGCGTCAATGAGAATAATTCCTCAGCTGGTCTCCATCCTTCCTTTCCTCGTTAGCACCAGTAGTCACTGAAATGATGTCTTCAGCTTTTGCTAAATTAGAGAATGTTGTGAAGATTATAAATGTAGTGATTTATAGCCGCTCTGGTTTTCCTTTTCATCCATTGCAGGAATGGCCAGCTCTAGCTCTTCTGGATGTTGTTTTGTGCTTTTTATTTTGTTTTGTTTTGTTTTGTTTTGTTACAGCTGTTTACGATTCCACATCTTGCAGCACAATTCCATGCCATAGAACTGTGTCACTGTATGTTTTTCTAGTACAATAACACAGTCAGGACTAAACCAAACTTTTCCTACAACAGATGACTCACAGTTAAAGCAGATTCATATCAGAGAACATCTGGGCCACACCAGTTTTATTTTAAGACAGAAGCCATCAACTTGTTGTTGAAAAGGAATTGCAGGGATGTGTTCTAATTTTTCCACACTGGACACCAGGAGGCGCTACAAAGTTGCAGGACAGCAACGGGCACTTGTATATAAATCAGACAAGAAACTATCAAAACATACCACAAAAAGTACTTCTTTAACTTGCTTTTTTTTTTTTTTTTACATCTTTTCTTGCTTATTTTTTCTATAACCACTGACAAACTCAATAGCCCTAATATGGTTATATGTTGTACATTACTTTGATTGAAATTTTTAATTCTGAATTATTTCTTTGTACGAGGTGTTTAGAGAATTGCATTTGATCTTCCAATAAATTGTGCTGTCCTTTCAAAATGGGGTTCAGTAACTGAGAAACATTACTTCTTTGCAAAGGTGAGTAGAAAACATGTTAATTAATACCAAAGCAGAAAGACATCAATGGACAATAACAAGAATTGCCCGCGTATTTGAACACGGCTTTAAAACAGATAACTAACAATCCCACACGGATTTCTTTGTGTATTTCACCTCATCATCCCAACTTGGCTCCTTCAACTAAATGCGTAAAGGAGATTGAGTGTCACTAATATCCACCCACAGGCCACTAACTGGAAAAATAGTCCAATTTGGAATCTAAGACTTTAGATTCCAAACCCAAACAGTGCAAAACACTAAACTTAGAATCCAAGAAACATAGCAAATGTTGGAAAAAAAACAAAACATCATATCTCAATAGTATTTGCATGGATTTGTCTGTAGCACACTCAGATTCTTCCCCTGTAGTTCACTCAACTGGCCCAATTTATCATCAAGAGGAAAATATCATATCAAGGCCAGCTATGCACATTAACTGAGACTGCTCTTGGCCTGGGCCTGGTGCATTATTGCCATGGCAACAGAAAATCACCCAGTCTCAGTACCATGCTGTCACACTCTCTTCTGCCAGCACACAGCATTTTGAATTGGAATCTACTGTTTTGTCCACCTCAAACTTTTAAGTGTTCGGTTTCAGTAATGTGAACACAAACTGGAAAGCACATTCTTGAGGATTAAACATTTGAAAATGACAAAAGTTACAAAGTAAATAAACATAACACATATAAAAGTCATCACTACACTTATGAAATCCAGTGATGGGCCAAACTTTTGAGTGTTTGTATGGGAAAAAAAAGAGCTTTTGGAACTCGTCTGTTCTGTCTTACGTTTATTGTTTGAGCCACACTCAAGTTTTTTGGAACAGAGTGAGCCTTTTCTACAGCACCAAAGGAGTAATATCTGAACCCCTTCTGGAATTTACAAGTTCCATTTCTTGACCACTTGACCTCCTGCTGCACTTGTTCCATCATTCCTCTGTACAGACATCTTGTACTTGGAAATGAAGTAGTCGATTCCCTTTTTGGCAGGACTACTGTGTAGTGAACAGTGGTGGAAACTTCAGATCCAGGTAATACAAATCCAGACCAAGATTTTGTTTCAACCAACCAGTTGAGTACTCTGTGAATGTAACTCTTTATATTGAACTGACTGGTTGAAACAAAAGCATGGTCTTGATTTGTACATTCTGAATCTAAACTTTTAATCTCTGGTAGTGAAGCACCCTTGCTGAGCATGTTCAGTCAGCTCCTTATTCAGCAACCTGATAAACCGTTTCCTGGTGCAAAATATCCCCAATGTACACCCTTCGGAGTGCTCAAAATCTTATTCAGATCTGCATTCAGTACCTCTCCCCATCATCTCCCACCCCTCGTATGCATCACCTGTTTTTATCCATATCTATCTCTCTATTTAAACGCAGCAGGGAAGCTTCCGGAATCCTTTCTTCGGCTGGTTCACCTTTCTCCGTCGTCTCTCACCAGGCAATCAGAGGTGCTGACAGTTTGCATTGTCCATGAGACCTCAGCAGCATAAAAATAGCCCAAGAAAACAATTATAAAAACAATTTGCCATTAGCTCAGCTTGGATCGGTGATCGAGCCCTGAGGCACAGTAGGGTTTGTAAGTTTATCGTAGTGTCCTATTGGGTAGATTTAAGGCAGCTCAAAACAGACCAGTGAGGTGAATCACATTAAGATACAAGAACAAAGGACACTGACATTCAGAAGCTGGGGGGATATGAAAACTAACTAGCAATATAATGTGTCTGAGCTGAAAAAGAACAGACAATAGGTCAACAACACAGCTTTTTAATTGACATGTAAACCATTAAACAACACAGAGATACTGTATTTTTCCATAGTTTAAAAGGGCTGAACACATTTAGAAGGTTCACTGTAGCAATGGCAACAACTGACATGCTTGCTGTGCTCATCACTGCCGTGCTGAAATGAGGAGAGGGGACACACAGGCCGCTTGGGGAGTATCCAGTGCGAGCATGGACAGTTTCCAGTTGCAACTGGTTGTCAGGGTGGAAGTACTGGTGTAGGATTTCGGGAAAGATCATGATGAGTCATATTTTGGGGGAAAAATTACTCGTGATGAGAATTTTGTTCCCATATGAGTCACAATGAATGTGGTCCATCACTGTTTGGGGGCCCTATTGCCTTTTTGTCAGAATCTCAGTTTGAAACACTGGTACCTTCATAGGCCCCGTTTACACTGTCTGTTAAATGCGACCTAATTCCGATTTTTTGCTCATATGTGACACAGATCGGATCTGTTCTGTGACAGTGTAAATGGGAAAAAAACGCATGCATTCGGATATTTCGAGATCGGTTTCAGGCCTCATTCATATGTGGAAATAAATCAGATATAAATCAGATATGGGCCAATGCGACTGTAATGTAAACAGGCAGATTGGATTTTCTGAGGCATTGCGTTCTGTACGTCATTAAACTGCGTACGTGAAGCGTACGTGAAAAGTACGTGGGAAGTACGTGTGGAAGCGTAACATTAAAAAAACATACGAAACATGGAGGAGGGAAGTGTAGGGCGGTGGTCGGCGCCTGAAAGAGCCTACCTTCTCACCCTGTGGGGAGAAGAATCCATTCAGGATAAAATTAAAGGTTCCTACAGAAACAAATCTGTTTTCGAGCATATTTCGGCTGCAATGATGGCCCTTTTCCTCCTCCTTCGCCTCAAAATCGTGATGTTGTTCGGCGAACTTCGCATACATCGCAAAGCTATCATAAAACAAATTTCGCGTTCGTCCGTCTTGGCTACGGCGTCGTGCAAAAACCCCCGTTGAGCATGCGTGAAATTATAGCAAGTGTAAACACACGAATCGGATATGGGTCACAATTAAAAAGACCGTGTAAACAGACGGTCCAAAAAATCGGATATAGGCAACAAATCGGAATTAGGCATCAAGACCTGCAGTGTAAACGGGGCCTTAGATACCTTCATAATGCATTACAAAGCATCCATAATGCAGTATAGCGGTCGGGTATAAGAATTTAGGATGCTTTGTAATGATAATGAAGGTGATTATAATGTATTATAGATTGGAGCTTCTGAAGTATTGTAATCAACACTATAATGCCTTATGACTGTCAGTAGAAGATGCTGTCATGCCTTATTAATCCAAGATAATGCATAATATAGATGATTTATGATGCATTATAAAGGTGTCTATAATGCATGATAGATGAGAGCTTCAAATAAAGTGTTACCAAAACATTTAATAAATTTCCATTTATGTAAAACACACAAGGTTGTTTTCAATATAGAAGGTGCACTAACACAACAAATAGATTTTCTTTGATATTTCTTTGTCACCGCTAGGCAAAAACAAAGTTACTTGGGCACTTTGAAAGTTCACTTCTGGACAGACACTGCACTGCTATTACCACTGCACTGCACTGCTATTACCACTGCTAAGCACTTGTAGGGCTGGGAGGCCTTCCTGGTGTCCGGCTAACGTGCCAGTGCTTGTAAACTGTACATATTAGTCACTGACATGTCCACATGATTTTACACATATTATGCAGTGCTCTCAAACACTTACCACTGCACCCTAAATCTGCTTCAAAGCCTTCTGTGTGACCTCCCCAACCAGAGGGGATCTGTGTGACAGAGCTTATGGACAGTGTGCTTCATTCGAGTCCACCGCCCTGGGCAGACGTGCATGAATGGATGTGAGTCAGGTTTAAGCCCCAATGCACTTTCATTCCCTTCTCCAGAGATGGTGGGGAGGAAGGGGGGGTAAAAAGAGGTCAGAGATCCTCCCCTGACTGGCGTGACTCCGGCTGTATGGCATGCCAACGAGCCGTCTCCACCCGACCCCGGCTGTACATCTCCACCCAGTGCGCTTTGCCCTCCTCTGGGGCCTCACTGCCAATCAGGACGTGGCCCAGCACGCTGCTTTTGGTGAAGATCCGGCCCTGTCAGCAGGGGAAGTTTCTCACCAATCAGGGAGCAGTGGAAGTTTAACATGCATATTACACACTTAACTGCACCAATAGGAAGAATATTACTGCTTTCAACCGAAAATCAAAACTGAGCCTGACCCACACATAAAGCAGATCTTGGCCCTGCCTCCCCGTTGTCGGAGGACATCCCCTACCTGCATGATGACGAACTCCAGGACGAGTGCCAGCTGAGAGATGTCACCTTGAGGCAGGTCAAACAGGAAAGGGGCGTTCCACACCGCGTTGTATCCACTGGCTCCTTTGGTTTCCTTGCTGTCAATCACACTCCCCTTGTGGTGTAGATTTATCACCACATAATGATCTGTGGAGATAAGCCACCACTGAGTGTTGCAGAGCTCCTTAACGTACAGGGCACGTGCGTCACTGAAGATGTCACTCAGGACGTTCACTGAGAAGAAAGAAGTCAAACACAACTGGCCACAGGTGCTGTGAATTCTTGGCTATTGGGGAAACTATGGCCAGAAGCCCCCTTTGCAACACAGCTGCATTGTGAGACTGTTACGTGCCGTAAGTGTTTCGGATATGTCTACAGGACACCTCGGTCTTCTGCCCCAAGCTCCACTCGCCAGCTGCTGCTTCAGCCCGCCTCCCGGTTCCCAGCCACGCCCCTTCCGCCCTCTGACCTCTGACCCTGGCCCTGTGTTCTGGTCGACGAGGATAAAGCCTGCTGATCGCATGTAGCTCGAGCTCTCGCTTTTGCTTTAGCTGTATTGGTTTGCTGTTTTCTGATTGACTTCTGCGTATGACTGTTTCGGTTTCCTGGTTTCTGACTTTCTGCTTCGGCCCATTTGTACCTTTGCGCTCGGTTTGTTTGTCTTCTGGTTTTCCAGCTCACCCTTTCGGATGCCGTGTTTTTGGACTGTGTGTTTGCTGTGTATATGTCTTGGGTGCGTAAGGAGTGGCTGCCCTTTTTGTTTCTGCGATCGTGGTGTTTAGTGTTGTTTTGGTTAGGGAGTTACACTTAGTCTTTGTCATTTAATATAAAAAACTACAAAAAAATATCCCTGTGTTTCCCGTGCTTCCTTTTCTGTTCCCCGCTTGTCCCGTCTTCCCCTCTCCCTCTCCTCTACCTTTCTGTCGATCCTCAACCCTAGACTGCGGATCGTAACATGCCCAAGGTGCTGGAATTTTCTGGATCACTGATCATGTGTGAAGGATGGCAGTTTTGCAAAGGTATCTATATGATCAGACATGGGGGATTGCTGTACTCTGAAATACATTATATATTATAGGATGTTTTCTCATAACCTGTCCTAGATAATGGCTTTGTCTGGGGGAAAAAGCCTTATAAAAAGTTTAAGGTCCTTAAATGTTTGTTACTATAATGTATGCCGTGCTATGAAACTGGGTCACAGAGAAGTTTTAGAATGGGCTGAACAAGCACTGCCATTTAAACATCTATAGTCTCTATTCAATACATAAACTCATAGAAGTCAGAGAGCCTGTTTATGTTCTTCACGAGCATAAAACATAAAACTATTACTTCACAATTTATGTTGTACTTGTAGTTCTGCTGCCATTAAATAGAAAAAAATATTTAGGATGTGCAGTGGATTTCTGTCAGAGGATTACTGTCATTTTTAACATTTACTCTAGTCAATTTTTAGACCAAAATGACATGAAAGTGTACTGCAATGCAGTAATGGACAAGCAACTGTAAGATGGACAGATGGTTGGACCTGAAATACGGGGTAACAGCAGGGAGGCCTTGGGCCGAGGTTCTTGCTCAGCTGGAGGTGTGAGGGAGTCACAGGAGGGACAAAGGAGGCTCACCTGGCGCTCCGAGCATGTGGCTCCGTCTGGCCATGCTCTCTGCCTTTCGCACCATCACCTTGACGCGGTGAGCTGGGCTCTGGTACTGCAGCAGGATGAACAGCTGGCCCAGATCCCGGGGTCCTCGGCTCAGGGAATCATGGGAGCTCTGACTCTGCGAGATATCAGGAAAGAACGTGTCTCTAGGGGAGAGGCCGAAGATGGGGGCATCCGACTGGATGTCAATAGTACGCTGAGGCCGCTGAATGCTTCACTGGGGAAGGTCAGAGGTTAGATGTCAGCCGGATGCTTGTCAGTAGTGTGATCATCAATGTCAGGAGTCAAGAATCAAGTAGAGTCTATAGCGTAACTGTTAGACTGAACAAACCGTAAACTGCAGCTGAACAAACCGTAAACTCCAGCTGAACAAACCGTAAACTCCAGCTGAACAAACCGTAAACTCCAGCTGAACAAACCGTAAACTGCAGCTGAACAAACCGTAAACTCCAACTCAGACATAATCATGTTCTCGTTCACACTGGGTAAAAGCAGTGTTTTCCAAACCTGACCTCAGGGAACCCAAGACAGTCCACTGGGAGCTGAGAGGAAGCAAAAACACAAACCGTCTGGCAGGGGGCAAAAAGGTAGACTGGCAGGGAGCTGGGAGGGAGCATAAACGTAAACTGTCTGGCAGGGAGCTGGGAGGGAGCAAAAACAGACTGTCTGGGGGTCCCTGCAGACTGGGATGGGAAACACTGCTGTAAAGGACATTATTTCCCTTACTACCAGGCCACCATACCATCATATGGCAGCTTTATTCCTTTCCCCTGCAATCTTCTAGCTTTCTCTGCTTGTGTGTTGTACTAGTTGTGTTCTTATATTTGTGTGTGAGGCAGGTTGGGCCAACCATGTTATGAATGGCACTTTATAAAAATTAATTACATATAAAAACTGTTCAGATTTTCCCTTGATTACTAAGTGCTGTGAAAAAAATGTCCCTGTAAACGTTTACTACAGCATATTTGAAAACATCAAAATACTAATTCCCATTTAAATGCAGCTTTCTCTCCATCAGTCTGTAGATTGCAGTGGAATACGGTTCAGCCAAGATGGCCGCCAGGTCCCAAATGGAAGAGCAACCAGGGAGTTGTGAACTGAGGAAATGGGTTACCAGCTGGGCCCAGATGCAGTTAGCCCATCCGCATGCCAAGTGGTGCACGAAAGTGTCTCCCTTCAGCATGTAAGCTCTCTGCACCTGGAGGTGTCGCCCTACATCTGCCCACAGGCTTGCTCTTATGACCCCCCCCACCTGCATATATATAATTCAGAAGATCCAGTTCCATCCAGTGTCATGTGCTGACATAATTACGGACAGTATTAAAGTGGGAAACTGCCAGCGCCCGCTGTTTCAGTGGCCGCCCGCCGCCATGTCCACGGGGCTCACAGTGGGCGGCCGTCTGTCATTAAGCAGCATTCGGTTACCGCTGTAACCCAAACAAAGAGACAGAGCCGGGGGACTCGCCGGCACGCGGCGGACCCTGCAGAGATCACGCGCCACACAATCTGCAGCGCCGGTAATCAAAAAAAGCTAAAATATCCCAACAATAGACGACGAAATCAAACGGGACACAGACTAAGTAGAAAACCTTTCAGTGTGTGAATCACAAAGTAAACGCACCACTAACTGCCCTAGTAACAAGACAGGGACAACTAAACTAGGGCCAAAAGTACAGTAGCATAACAACGACAGAACACCTCCCTTTGCAGAAGCAGGCTTTTATCATCTTTTATCAACCATGCATATCTATTGCTGACATTGTGCAGTAGAACCTACAGCACTGGTGCCTACAAAAGCTATAAGTACATTAGATTGGAAGCACTTTTTTCGCTCATTAATCTTGAAACTGTATTGTGCTGATACCTGGTTATGTTTCTCGCCAAGCAGCCTTCTCAAAATGTGCATCAAACTCACATCATGACTGTATGGGAGGACAAGAGGTGCTGACTTTACATACGTGTGGGGGGCTGCTGAGTGGGCGCCTACCAGAAGGGCAGGAATCCAAGGCCTCAGTGCACAGCAGCACCATACAGTGGAGCTTGCTGGCCCCTTAAAGGGTAAACCTTGGGCATTCTGCCCACCTCTGATTTGAGACCCTCCTCTGTTTGCCTTCACACCACGTATGGATGTCATGTGACTTGAGGGAAAAAAAAAACAAAGCTATTCACCTAATTCTGCGCTCTACAGACTGGAATAAGGAGTGTTGGGACTCAGGAAGAGCTTCTACCCCAGAGCTGAATTCCACCCGCCGTCGCTAGGCCCACCCGCTAATGATGGCCCGCTACCTCATCAGAATCGGATCATCAGAATCGGAATCTTTATTGCCACATGACCAAGGACCATAGAAAATTTTGTTGGCATCGCTTGCTACTGTTGGAGACAAGAGATAATTAACAATTACAGACAGAGAATAGTTACAAAACACAAGATGCACAACCTACCCCTTTAACTCCCCCAACCCCATTAACACTGGATGCTACTGGACTGACCAATCTTTTTTCATTTGCACTACAACTGCACTTAACATCAACAGTGCAATGCTCTTAGTTTTGTAAAAATGTTGCAGATTTATTGGTTTTATTGGTTATATTATGGAAGCTGCTACCAGATTTCATGGTACCCGTACCTTCTTCAGCCGGCTCTTGGCTGGCCGCAGCTCCCTGCTGCAGGTGATGGAGCGGTCGGGTTTCCAGTCCACCTCCCCGCACGCCAGCTCCAGCTGACCCACGGCTGACTCTCGGAGGCCCGAGAAGTCACGGGAGACGACGGCCAGCTGCAGCGAGCAGTCGCGCAGCTCCTCCTGCGAGCCCACCGGCAGCAGCACGCTCTGACCACGCAGCTCGGGTCCGAGGCTGCGGCGGCGTGCCAGGGCCTGCACTGGTGCAGGACAGAGCGGCGGCAGGCTGGCGCGTAGGATGGCCCCGCCCAGGCGCCGGCCCCCTCCCGATAGGCTGAGCACTGTGACGGTGAGGGTACCGCGTGCTGGCGAGAAGAGGAGGGAGAATTGCAGGAGGGGGGCTGGTCGGGTAATACGGTCGGTGGGGGTGGGTGCAGGGGAGGCAGTGGGCTCGAGGGTCAGGTATGAGGACAGGGGGGAGCCAGTGGCGGCCGTCAACCGACTGCGCTCGCTGCACGCCAGGCTGTCGCCCATCACCGTGTAGCGCCGCTCCACAGCACGGCGCGTCCTGGAAACCAGGCCCAGCTTGGGCACGGCGGAGGGCAAAGAGGCACAGCCATGGCGCTGCAACCGGGGGGCGGAGCCAGAGGCCGCAGGGAAGCTGAGTCGGCGCAGGGGGAAGCCAGCCTTTCCCAGGTGCAGGCCCAACTCAGGTGGGGCAGGCTTCTGCGACTCGTGCACCGGCGTGGTCTTGCAGCCAGGGGGCGCCGAGTCGTCGCTCGTCCAGCACGGACTCCCGCACACATCGCCATCCAGCTCCTCGTACTGCTGCCGCACGGGTACAGTAGCCACCGCGGGGCTGCAGAGGTCCTGTGGCGGGGACGGGGGGGCCTCCTTATCCCCGGACGTGCGGGACTTCCGTCGACGCCAGTACAGGAAACAGCCGAGGAGGAGGCAGAAGCAGACGACAGCGAGGGCGACCCCCAGCACGATCTGCAGGTGCACTGAAGGCCGGGAGAGCGACTGACATCACATCACCTGTGTCATCTGACCTCACAACTCCCATAATTCACCTCCTTTTTGTTTCATCAGGCTCACTGGTGCCAGACTGACTGCCTGGTGTGAACGGATACGCATGACTCAGGACTGATCGCGTATGGCACGATAAACTCAGTGTCTCGTATTGATCCTCATCCAGCCCACTGACACAGCAATTATCTTACTGTTCATTTGCGCTCGTCATTCGAACGTGTTATTAAATTACACAGGAAATGTCCACAACACCTAATCAGAACTAATGACTCCCCTTCGGGCTTTGATCTAAAACAGACCAGTGTGGCTGATCTGGCTCCTGTCCATTTCCTGCTTCCTGAATGCATGACTTATATCGTGAGAGGAAAGGTCTAATTATGTGCAAACCTTGTCGTCATACAAAGAGCAAAAATGATGAATAAGAAATTCATCCACGCCTATGTTTCATGTTTCATTACAGTGAACCTGGAGTATATCAGATGGGTCATGAGACAGGGGACACCCTGGATGGGATGCCAGTCCATTGCAAGGTATTACAGATAAGCAGTGGCTCTTCAAACATGATGTGAAATTTTAATTTTATATTTACATGTATTTTATGTACTTTGGTCCAAAATGACGTTCAATTGTGGCAAATTGCACATAATAAATACAAGGCTACCAGAGAGTCCACTAGGCATAAGTGCGGGTGAGTTTCCAAGGAACGCCCTGTTAAGCGAAAAGGGGAGTGTGGCCCGTACGGGGATCGAACGTTATTAGCACCACGCTCTAACCAACTGAGCTAACCGGCCAGCTACGAGAACGTAATTGCTAATACTTTCCTTAAAGTAATTATTGTCTCTTTAAAAGCACTTCATATCGTCTAATTTTTTCTTATTCACTTAGAAATGACCCGATGTGACGCAGAAGTAGGCTACCTTTCGCAAGCAATAATGTCTTCTGATTGCAAAACGATGAAGTTCCTAACTTACTACAGATAAGTATAGTTTCCTTGTGGTGCAAATTTTGAAAAGTTGGAAACTGCCTGTTAACCGGCAGTTTTATCGTGGTGTGAAATACGTGAAAATCCGGTTTTCACACAAGCTTATAGATTTTTC